TGACTATTCTGAATTACAAGTTACACTTTCTGAATTACATCTGACTAATCTGAATTACATGTTATGCATTCTGAATTACAATTAACTAATCTGAATCACAATTCGGGCTCCGTGGCCGAGTTTGTCTGTGCGCTGAAATTCGCTAGATACCCGTTCACGATGCAGAGGTACTGTCGGTTCGAATCCGGCTATCGGCTGAGCATTTTTCTTTAAAATGTGTGATTCATGGTTGTAATCCTGGCCGCACCTCGATGCCCTAGAAGTGGTTCGGTTTCCACTATAAGCTGTAGGTCCCGCTCTTCCTAACCCCGCACAAGTTCGACTTCTGGGGAGTTGGTTCCCAACTTTGAAGTAGCGATATACAAAATTTACAAAATTTACAAATAATTGACGCTTTCTGAATTACATTTTATTATTCTGAATTACAAATTACACTTTCTGACTTACATTTTACTGATCTGAATCACAAGTTACACTTTCTGAATTACAATTGAAAAAGGTGTAGTTGATGGACAGGAGAGACCTGTTGCTTTCGCATCCCGTTCTCTCAATTTTGCTGAGCAGAACTACAGTCAGCTTGACAGGGAAACTCTGGCGATTATTTTTTCAGTCAGTCATTTCTACATGTACCTGTATGGCCGTCATTTTCAACTCATCACAGATAATCAGGTTCAGATAACATCAACATCGATTGTTTATCCAGAGCACCCATCAAATCGAATCTTCGAACAACCGATACCCCAATAAATCATGAAGTACACGAGATAAATTGGAATTCAATATATCAGATATCGTCGGAAAAAGTCACAGCAGAGACCAGTGCTCGAGAAACTGATAAAGATAGAGAACTATCAAAAATCAGAAATGGTCTAACTGGTGGTGCGGCTGAGGATCTTCAATACACAGTCGACAATGGTATTATCTCCAGAGGTCATAAGGTTGTGACTCCACGTTCACTCCAGCATTCTATCTTGAAGGAATTGCACAGCACTCATATAGGGATCACCAAAATGAAACAGTTGGCCCGCCGTTACTGTACTTGGAGTGGAATGGATCGAGCAATAGAGAATATCGTTAAATCTTGAGAAACATGTTCTATTCTCAACTCAAGTTCACCCAAAGAACCGCTCCATCCATGGGAGAAACCACTAGAGAACTGGGATCGTATTCACATGGTTTATGAAGGGCCATATGAAAACAAACATCTCTTGATCATTGTAGATACCATCGAATTACTTGAGAATGTATTTGTATGTATAAAAGTTCTTCGCCTCAGGTCATCCAGCAACAAACTGCCTGGCAGAGCGCAATGTGCGAACCATTAAAAATCGTTTGAAGGCCATCGGAGATACAGATTTATCGCTCAATAAGAAATTACAGAAGATCATGTATCAGTACAGAGCAACTCCACTTGCCGCAAGAAAATGAGATTGCATTAAACCATTTCATGAACCAGATCATCCACATCCAGTTTCAGGTATACGATCGTTCAAGGCTGGAGATCGAGTTCTGCCTCGATACTATACTGATAATCATTCGAGATGTCGTTTTGGTGTGGTGATAGAGAAGTTTGGCTACCTGCACTATATTTTGAAACTCGACAATGGTTACGTGTATAAACGGCCATATCGACCAACTCAGGAGCACACAGGTTACTCGGAAAACGGTATCCTTTGCGCCTGACACGAAGCCAGCTGAGGAAGATTCTGAAGATCTCAGGAGAATCCAGTATATTTACTGAGCCTCCAGATTCCACCAATGGATATCTTGACGCCTCCAGAAGCCATCGTTCAATCACCAGGAGATAATCCAATTGACCAGCTTCCTGAAGAGCAACAAGAACCACTAAGGCAATCTGGACGTGACCATCGATTACCAGGTCACCTCAAGGATTTCGTTTTGGATAGACGTGTTCCGAATAATCAGTGAAGAATGTAGATTTCAGATTGCAATTATGTTTAAAAGTTTTGTTAAGTATTTCAAGTCTTCATGACTATCGTAGCTTCCCAATAGTAGGGGAGAATTGTTATAACTTACATAACCGAAACATCCGGTATATTTGGGAAATACTTCGAGTTGACAGACAGTCAAATAAATGTTAAACGCGAGCATTTTATTCAAAATTCACAACATGAGGATTTTGAACAAAATCTACAAGAAGAATTGATAAATTACACACCAAAAAGGGAAGAGAACTCGAGGTAAAAATCCCATCAATAATACCAAATACGACAGAAGGATCACATTGTCTTTAAAAAAACAAATGCCGTTGCCATAGCAACTAATTTGTTGTATGCCTCTATATTTGACCATTTGTCGTTGTGTCATTAGTTAAGTGTCTTGTTTTATTGACTAAAATTACATAAAATGCCTCAAATAAATCCTGAACAAGTAGCAAGATTAGTTGCGTTAGTGAACGATGGATGTAGTAAACGTTACGCCGCTCGTGCAGTGGGAGTTCATGAAGCAACTGCTCGTAGAGCAATCCGCAAGTGCGAACAAACAGGAAGCACCGCTCGGAGGGTCGCTTCTGGTCGCCCCCGAAAAACTTCTCCAAGAGATGATCGCTTCTTGATATTGCGGATTTTACGGAATCGATCAAATACTGCGGTAAATGTTCAGCAAGATCTTCGCCAAATTCGTGATGTTGCAGTAAGTAAGCAGACGGTATGTAGACGTCTAAAAGGAGTTAATTTAAAAGCTAGGAGACCTGCGAAAGGTCTCAAATTATTGCCCGAACATCGTGCTGCTAGAAGAAATTTTGTTGAAAATTATGGACAGTGGAATATTCCTGAATGGTCGAATGTCTTGTTTACGGATGAGTCAAGGTTTTGCCTTAACATGGTGGATGGAAGAAAAAGAGTGTAGAGAAGAACTGGTGAACGGTTTAATCAAAATGTAATTTAACAGAATGCGAAAGTTTCAATGGTGGGTCCGTTATGGTGTAGGGAGGGATTTCAATGAATGGAAAGACACCCCTTCATGTTTTTCCGGTGAGGCAGTAGATGAATGCCCAAATTTACATTGACATTTTAGAGCAGTATGTCTTACCTTATGCAGAGTTAGTGGGGAATAATTTTATTGATACAGGATGATGCCCGACCACACACCGCAGCAATAGTGCGAAACTTCTTAGAAGCTACTGGTATTACCACATTACAATGGCCTGCGAGAAGCCCCGATATGAATCCTATAGAACATTTGTGGGATGAATTAGGGAGAAGGGTACGTTCTCGCGAGAGGTCTCCGGAAAGTCTCGCAGAAATGGCAGATGCATTAGTGGAAGAATGGGATCGTATACCAATGGAAACGATGAGCAACTTAATTTTCAGTATGCCTCGTAGATTAGAAGTTCTTAGAGTTGCTAGAGGAGGCAATACACGGTATTAAGCAGTCATCACAAATTATAATTTTGTGTTTAATAAAAATGTTTTTTAAAATTATTGGTATCAGTTTATTTCATTAAGAAATTGTTTCTCGATAAATTCAGAAAGTTGGTAATCTGCAAGGATTCAGCAAAAAAACCTGTGATTCGGAAAATTTGAGAGATAAATCAATGAATAAGAAAACAAAATGCTCGGAAGAGAAGCCTCTTTTGTATAGGGTGTGAGCACTTTCTATGCCATTACTCAATTGACACACAGGGTGAGTCAAAAATTAAGAATAAATCATGGTTCGAGTTATTCCATTTCCATCAAGGAGGCTTTGAAAAAAATGTCACCACTTTATTTTTTTTCAAAGACAAATGCATTACCTACCAACAAATAAAAAAAAATAAAAATCGGCCTACTATTTTTTTTTAAGAAGATAGGTCAAATATCATGTGCGTCACTTTTTTTGGAACTGAGTGTATTTCCTCCTAATCCTGCATTAAATTGCATGAAAAGAGAATATACATCAGAAAATGAAAAAAATATTCTTGCACTCTGAGACCTTGCTTGAGACTATTCCCATTATTTTTACTTGCCTTCTTCAATGACCTTTGTTCATGAAGATTGTTTTTCAGTTAAATGAACCAATGTTTCTGTTCCAATATAAGGTGCTTGCTCTATTGTTGTTAGAGATAATATTGAAATTTGTGTTGTTCTTCATGGTTTTGATTTCCACTCTGGCATCTGGTAAAATGATAGGTACCATTAGTTCACATGATACCTATAAACAATATTTATATACTTTCTTGTTGATGTACATGTTTTTGCACATAAGAATGTAATATTGAAAAATGTGATGGAATAATTGATATCAATAAATAATATACATATCTATATTTCACTCATAAAACTTCTTTTCACTGGAATGTTGCTTTTTGATTAGTTTCTGTTCTCCACCCTGGTATCTTTCATAGTCCTAAAATTACCTGAAAATTATATTTTTTGTAGTTCCTTGTTCACTTTATCTGATTTAAAGGATATTTATATTATATAATTATGCTCCATTCCTCCAAACACACATACCTGCCTGGTACATAGCTTGGACAAAATTTCAGATGATAGGTATTGGGTATTCCACTCTGGCCTACTGATTCATCCAAAATTGCCTTCTCAATTCAAAGATTGAAGGTATTTTATAGAGGTATATATAAACATCCATATTTTATAATGGTTCTTATAATAATATATCATAAATTAATAAAAATATGCCGAGCAAAACAAAGAGTTTGTACACAACATTTCATAACATAACAACATTTCATAACATTTTCCGTTGAGGTTTATATCTTGTCATTTCACTGCCTGTGATGTCACGAATGACCGTTTCCCCCCTTGCCGCACTATCGATCGGGGCAACCTTCCTATACAAATTATCATCAGTTCTACCAACCTTGAGCACATCTTTATCCAATTATTTTCATTACTCCGGCAACTACCACGAAAATGACAATAATTCTGTAAAAAGCACATAAAACAACGTTCAACAGTCAAAATCTTTTTGATTCACTCTGATTATACATCATCAAACAGACACCCCAGTGATTATCGAAGTCCCTACCTATCTGAAACATGACACCAAGTGAACAAGATCAAAAGGAACATGGAAAGGTATACCAAAACAGAATTGTTTACTCCTTGCCAGTACATCTAGGATTGTGGAATGAAGAATTAGCATTACGTGAAGAGAAAAACCTTATAGCTACCTATAAAAGGGAGCACTGTCAATTGCTCATCCAAAAAACTAGAAAAATGTTCAGAAACGTGCTGAAACCCACAATATTAGCCATTGAAGCTCCATATGTGTTATACGGACAAAATTATCAGTTCAAAACTTGCGATCTAACAACAGACAAAGACTCATCGGGATTTTATTTATCAGGAGTGATTAACGAGAGAAATATAGATACTGTGCAGCATTTCGAACATGGCTGCACGTTATCTGGATCACCTGTGAAAGAACCATGTGTACGCAATACTTTCAAGCTGATGGGATGCCAAACGAATAATAAAGAGGGGCAACAAGTATTCTACGGTGACGATGTTTTGTTACAAATTGCTGAAAGTAGTGGACCACCATTATATGTTCAGTGTCCAAATTCCACTATAGATACTTTTGGCGGTCATTTGTCTTTGAGATTGTCTCAATTTCCCGATATTTACTGCAGGTTAGTGTTATATTTATTAACGTTACAAGGCCGGTATGTAGCAAATAGCGGATGAGATTGAATTTTGTAAACCGTTTAATCAAAATAACAGTATGGGATAACGAAAAGGCGCCAATAGTATTTTTAGTATAAAAATGTTTGGTGAAAGGCATTTGAATATTGAATTGAACATACAAGGTATCCCAGAGTTCTTGAAACAGCAGATATCTGGGTTATCTCTCACACAAAGAAACAAACAAATTTGGGTATTTCTCAAAAATTACTCACCCGTATAACTTTCATGTTCCTCCAAACAGATGGAATTCGGTGTGTTGGTATAGTTCAAAAGCAACAAAAAAGTTATACGGACGAGCCACTTTTGAGAAACACCCGGTATATGGAATCGAAAACTCTAAAATAATTAGACCGGATTCATCTTGTGAATGTGGAATGTGTATAATTTAATTTGTTAGTTATTCACAGCATAAGGACTAAACGGGACAGTTGCCTATATAAATATTTTTATTTCTCCGCGGAGTTAATGAACAACCATTATATACCTATTTGAATTTTCTTCATTAGTCGAAAAGTATGAATCAATGTATTCACGAAATTATTAAATAGTTCAGTTGCCTAATGGAATATATTTGATGATAGGCACAGTCTACACGACCGCCGCGGCGGTTGGATACTGAAACATAAACAACCGCCGGCGGTTACCTATTTTTATATAGAAGACCGCCGTGAGACATGAGGAAGGAAAATATCGTTTCTGCATCAAAAAGAAGACTACTTTTTTCAAACAAACTGACCTAACTCACCTAAATGAACCTTTCTCCTGAGAAGTATATTTTTCGAGAAATTATTTGTAAAAAAAAGTTTTGAAAAAATAAGGCCTAGTAGGGATTGAACCCGAGCCACAGGCGTGGTGGTCAGGTGAATTTTCAACTGAGCTATCGCTTCGCTCGGAAGTACTCTCTATGAAGAAGGAAGAAATATCATCGCGGCGGTTGTTTATGTATCAGTATCCAACCGCCGCGGCGGTCGTTTATGAATCAGCATCCAACCGCCGCGGCGGTCGTGTAGACAGTATCTTGAGGATATCCAGAATTGCTTCATTACTCAAATTTGAATCTTGAAATTGATAGAAGCAAACAAATATGTCAACGGAGATTTCGGGTTGATTATTTTTGTTGTTTCCAAGACATTAGGAAATGAAATCTGGCACCGCGCTCACATTTTCACCTGAAACCACGCTCACATTTTTTACCTGAAACCAGTTTACACCAAAATTTACTGATAGCTGCCTTTTTAAAGAGGTTATATTCTCATTATAATCTGTTAATTTTCATTTATTCATGGACTTACAATAAACGCCAGAAGCCATAGTGCCGCAAATAATTATCCGGTTTTCAGAAACAAATAAGCAAATGAAATGGCTCTTCAGATACTATTGTAATTTTTTGTTGTTCTAAAATTGTTCTATCCGTCATTCGGTTGCCCCCTTACGAGCAACCCTCAGAAGTCTTCGAAAGACTTGTGCGAGCAAGGAATGACGGGGGCCTTACCTTTTAACGTGTGATCCCAAACACTTTCTTAGGCCATCAGAAAAAGTCTGCGTTCGTGGGTCTCGAACCCACGATCGATACCTCGACGTGAATCGATATTGAAGCATCGAAGCACTGAGGTACGCCGGCCTATGAAATGATACTATGAAAATAGGCCATCTCTTTCTATTAGGTGAAACTTCTATGTGAACTGAGGTGATCACCAAGTTAGGATACAATACTATGTTACATAATATTTTCTGTCAATAGGGGAAAACCCACCTTCTTGAAACACATTAAAAACTGTGCCAAAATCGTAACTTCATTCACACGAACAGCGTTAGTTGATTTGTTGTATTAAAGTTAGTATACATCATTGAACTCTCAACCACTGTCATTCACACCTAGCGTACTCACCCCCCCTCCCCCCCCCCCCCCGCCCACTGAGCTAGTCATGGTGTTCTATTCCTTGAACATTTTTATATTTAGTCTCCACATCTGGGTTAGAGGGATATCAGCATCCCATTTGAAGGATTTTTCATCCACAACTTTCTACCCTTCAAAAACACAGTAATACGCTGTTGCCAGGGCCACAAAAATATTTTGGGTTCAAATAAAATCCCGATCATTATCAGGAATACTGGAATATTTTTATTGGTACTGAAGCATCTCGCAAGAATATAAGCATTCAACAAGTGATTATTAGGGACCCGGTCGAACCATTGTCTTCTGTGAATGTGAATACTGCTGTCAATGGTCATATTGAATCTAAGGTAATTACTAGTTACAAATCTGGCAGCGTCATATGTGCGGTTCGGTTCATGACGTCATCGGAGCTGGCTTTTGTCGAAGGTGCCGAATATCATTACTTAAAAAAATATATTTGCAATGATTTCAAATGACGAATGATTGCATCAAATACTATTTATACACGGAATGATCATAATGAAATAGGTATGTGGCGTAGTCGACTAGTTTGTACAACCCTATTGTTAGTAGGTACCTATCAGTCCCAAAAACAATCTACTTCTACCTCAGACTTGCCTCATGTGGGTCTTTGTTTTGGAATGACTATTATTGTTGCAGCAGGCTAGGTAATATGCAGTCGTAATTTATGAGTTACTTGAAATTCACAAATAGTTCATTACAGATACCAAAGATAAGTTTTGACAATTTTCAAGATATTCCATAAATTACGATATCAATCAATAGAGACAGATATCGTGAACTCTTGGCTAATTGACCGCATCAGATGTGGATATATAATTGAATACGAGATGTCTTATTGTAATAATAATAATTATTATTATTATTTTCATTATTAATAATATTAATATTAGTGAAGTGACATGTTGTATAAATAACCTCAACTTCATTGGGAATGCACTGACACGTCAGTCGGTCATCACTGGTCCAATAATGATTAAGCAAGACGAATAGTTGTCGACTTTTGTGATTTTCCATTGAAAAATCCCAATATCAAGCCAATGATAGTTGACTGGGGTGACATTGCTCTAAAAATGATAGACCATTTATTAATGTTTGCTGGGTTGTTTATTCATTCTCATTCTCCTTGATATTTCGATGGTTCCATTATTTCTCAGGTTCAAGATAATCCACTGGAATCCTCAGAAACGTTATGAAACGACAGGTACGACGTTCAAACCAGATACAAGAGTCATAATTCAGCACACTGCGTCAGGCAGAAATTTAGCAATAGAATCAGCCCAATTGATTCCATCTTTTTATGGCCCTGAGTGTATAGTCAGTTGCCATACATACAGGGATTCGCACAAAATGGAAACTGCCGAAAATTTCTGGAAAATAGTCAGCAGACCCATATCCGATACAGCATTGTACGTCAGAGCAGCAAAGGGAGAAGATATTCCTATGGAATTTTTCGAATGAACGTTGTGTAATGAAATATTTGATCAATTTGACAATTTTGAAATAAAAAAAGTATACAACCGTATTTGCCAACCTCGAATTTTACACCCAGTAGTATATTTTCGGATTTGAGAGCGTAACAACCTTTTAATTTGGAACGCGTTGAAGGAATTTCTAAAATGATTAAGTATTTTGGAATATATTATCGGCTTCCTTTCAAAATCGAGAATGTTTGTATGGAATTCTAATTTCGTGTATCATTCGACACCCTATGCCATTAAAAAAATCTTTCAAAATCCATATTCATGACACACTACACGGTTTAACCACTGACCAAACCAATTTTTTAATACCTCTACACATGTTTTGATATCAACTCTCAAGTTAATCCGGTATACCGTAATTTAATGTAGATATTGTACCTAATTTCCGAAAATGGAGGTTTATCGTACCTGTCCACAGGTAACTAATCCTTCAGGTTGGGAAGGTAGGATATATAAAAGTTAAGCAAGCCAACCTTAGTTTAGTTCATTGTACCAGTATATCACCTGACGAAGCTACTGTGTCAGCGAAACATGTCGTGTGTTTAATAAATTTTGTGGAAATCTTATCGTTTGTGAAGTTTTTACATTTATCATGGATTTCCATCAAGTAACGGCCGAGTCAATTCAAAAAATGTTTCGCTAATTTTGTTAGCATCTTCAGGGGAATATTAACTGATGAATATTCTATTCTAGAATTCTGCTTATACCGGGTGACCCAGAAACAATCTACCCCCCCCCCTGTATTTTCGTTGCTATTTTGTATGGATGTTTCAAATTTGATACATCGATTTGATTTTATGAGTGTATAATTCCGTTAGTATCAGACCAAATACCGGAAATGCATCATTTTTTTTCTATTTCAAATACAAAATAGTTTTTTACTTGAAATTATGATTCAGAATAAAATTACCTCTCCAACGATATATCACAATCATACTTTCAATCTAAAATCTACTCATAATATATCAAAAATAGCGAAAACAACTTAGAATTTGATGTCTTTAGAAAAGAAACTAACACATTTAGATACATACCTAATGACTCCAATCACTGTTTTCAGCACAAAATGGCAAGTTTAAATTTTCTAGTACACAGATTGATTTCATTTCCTCTGATCAAAGAAAGATTCAATGCTGAAAAAAGTGTTGTTTATAAAGTGGCTGGCGTCAATGGGTATGATATCAAAATAGTAGATAAATTAATACGTAGACATAAATTTAAGTTAACACTTCGATATTCTACGACATTTCAAGTGGATAAAAAGAACTCTAGAAGAATCCCAATCCCGTTCAATCCCAAGTATACGAAGGGACTTGATAAGGTTTTCAAAGACTTATGTTTTGAAAGCGTTTATCAGTCTGGGTCAAAATTAGGCAATTTATTAGGCAATCCGAAAGATAAAGTGGACACACTTGAAAAGTCGGGAATATACGAAATGAGTTGTAATGATTGTGATAAAACATATATAGGCCAAACCAGGCGACCCATAAAAACAAGATTCAAAGAACACATATCCCATTTAAAGTATGGCAGGTTGGATAAATTTTGTGTAGCCGAACATATGTTCAATCACAATCATAACACACATATTACTAACCTCAAATTAGTTAAGCAAGTTAATAACATTAGAAAATTAGATGCATATGGAAGCTTAGAGATATTTAAGAATAGTAATAGAGTAATGAATAAGGATAATGGACCTATTCCATATAGCCCTCTATATAGTTTAGTAAAATAAAAATTAAGCATGTGAACTCAACCATGACAAACATTAACTTGACGTTAGTATTTTTCACAGTTGGGTGAACATATACCTAGTACATAAGCAGCACACGAATAGGATGTTTTAATCTTCTCCTGAAGATGCTAACATAGTTAGCGAAACAAGTGTCGAGGCGTTAAAAAATCGGTTTGGTTAGTGGTAAAACAGTGTAGTGCAACCCAAAAAAAATCAAATCCTTTTTAGGCCTAGCTGGTTATTCTAGACGCTTCATTCATAACTTTACCAAATTATCAAATTACTCCAGAAAGATATCGTATTCAATTTTGACACCGAATGCAGAAATTCATTCAGCGAATTAAAAACAGCACTTATAACTAGTCCCATTTTGATATATCCAAATTTCGAGGAGCCATTCCTGCTAACTACTGATGCTAGCATGTTTGCAATTGGCGCTATATTATCACAAGGACCCGTAGGTAAAGACCTTCCAACCGCCTACGCATCTCGTACGCTGTGCAATGCTGAAACTAAATACTCCACTATCGAACGAGAATTACTCGCAATTGTGTGGGCAGTGAAACATTTTCGCCCGTATCTTTTCGGTGGAAAATTTAAACTCATCACTGACCATAGACCACTTACTTGGCTCTTTTCAGTCAAAGACCCAGGTAGTAGGCTAGCTCGTTGGCGATTAAAACTTGAAAGAGTACGATGCTGTGCTTTTTATACTCTACGTTAATCAACTCGATCATTTCATTGGCGATACACATTATACTGCATATGCAGATGATTTTTCATTCATTATATCGGCAGCAGAAACCCATGCACTTGAGAACAAATGCTCAGAATTGATGACCAAAGTTTCTGATTATTTCAATGATAATAGTTTGTTTTTCAACACCAAAAAAACAGAAGTTTTAAGAATTCATCATAGCCAGAAGAGGGTCGATGATTTGGTATTTAATATTGATAATAGTCCAGTGTATAGCATTCATAGCTCGATTAGATTCTTAGGCATCAATCTAGATGAGAATCTAAATTGGAAAGATCATTGTAAAAAAATTGCATCTAAGTTATCTTCTTTGAAATTTCTTTTCATCAATCTGAGAGATGTACTGGAGATGAATCAGATGTTAAATTTGTATTATGCACAAGTAGATTCAAGATTGCGGTACGGTATCTGTTTTTGGGGAAATTCTACTGATGTATCAAATGTTTTCATTGCTCAAAAAAGCATTATTAGATGCATTGCAAAAGTCTCACGTAGAGTATCATGTAGAGAATTGTTTATCAAATACAATATTTTGCCTTTGACATGCCTATTTGTATATGAATTAGGTATTTATGTGTTTCAAAACAAGCAAACATTTCCACTAAATGAACATTTTCATAATTATAGCACTCGACAAAGAGATCATTTTCATGTACCATTCTCCAGAAATGAAATATCATACAAGTCACCTGATCATATGGGTTTGAAAGTATTCAATAAGTTACCAGACTATGTAAAAGCCAGTAAATCATTGACTAACTTCAAAATCAAATTGAAAACATTCTTAATTGACAACTGTTTTTACAATATGAACGAATTTTTTTCAAGCACTGTTTGAGTTTATTTATTATATTTGCTTTGGTCTTTCTGAATATATTAGGGTTCGGAAAACTTTTGAACTGTAAATAGTATCTTCTTCTTCTCTATCTACTATTGTATATACCTACTTTCAAAATGACTGTACCAATACAATGTAAATTGTCTAATGGAAATGAATAAATGATGATGATGATGATGATGATTATCAAATTAAATATAAACCCGGAAAAATTAATAAGAACGCCAATTCTCTTTCAAGAATAAAAATCAATCATTTCCAGGAATGTGGGAATATGCAGTCAAAATTCTCAATTTTAGCTACAAATAATGACGAAATAATTGAAATCGAAGATTCAGATTCACCCGAACAAACTGAACAAACCACAGACGAACAAACTGAACAAACCACAGACGAACAAACCGAACGAACGACAGACGAACCTCCTGAATTTTCAGCTGAAATAATCCAAGAAGAATTTGACAGATTTTCAGACCTATACAGAACCCAATCATTGATTGACTATTCCGAAATTGAATTCGACAATCCACAACTATTGCACAAATCAAACAAGAACATCATTGTTTTTCTATGGCAGAATAAACTCAAAGACTTTCATGTTACCATAAACAAAGACATTTTTGAAGAAAACACAGACTTTGACAGTGACATAATAAATGTATTCAGTAGCAAAACAGTCAAAGATCGAAAATATCATAGTAATACCCTACGATTTGGAAGTTGTTATCGATCGATTATTTTACATAATTTACAAAAATCAAAATCAACTCGATCTCTCTTTTGTAGAAAATAATCTGGAATTACCAATTTTAGAATTTTTTTCATTTATATTCTGAGATAAAGATATTAGGCTCAAGATTTGCCAAAACATAACAAAAACACCTGACCCTGATCAAATTCCTATTATTTTGGACCACTGTCATGCAGGAAAGAATAACTTACATAGAGGAATCAATGAAACAGTGAGACGCGTAAAAGAAAAATACAATTGGCATGGATTAGTTAAAGATGTAGAAAAGTATGTTAAAGCGTGTGACATCTGTAAAAAGGTTAAAATTTGCAGAAAAAATTCAAGTGCACCGTTCGTAATAACTGAAACACCTAGATCACCGTTTGAGAGAATAAACATTGATATTTTCGAAATACCTGCAAAATACTATGCACTCACAATCAGAGACGAATTGACCAAGTTTACACAAGCTTACCCTATAGAAAACAAATCAGCTAAATCAGTCGTAAATACGCTATTACTCTACTTTCAACACTACGGAACGCCTTTATGAATTCATTGCGATCATGGACGAGAATTGAGAAATCAACTAATGAAAGACCTTTGCATGCTTTATGATATACAATTGACATATTCCAGTGTAAAGCACCCTCAATCTAACGACTCTTTAGAACGATTTCACGCAACACTCGCTGAAATGATCCGTATACATATGGCCGAAAATACCACAGAACACCCACTGAATATTCTTCCATACTCTATAATTTGTTACAATACTACCAAAAACAAAACTCGTATTTGGCCACACAGCCAGTAGAGTTCCAGAAACCCTGTATAACAAAAAGAACCTCATTTCCAAATATGTACGAGATCTCAACAACAGAATCTCTTATTTTTACGGAATTGCACGAGCT